ACGCCGCACACAAAGAAGAAGGCGCATCAAAGTCCCCAGTGGATTGCAGGAAAAATAGACAGCCGGGTGGGGCCCTAGGCTTCGAACGAGTATAAAAAAAAAAAAATTTACTATTTCTACTCAGACTGACACCATTACCTTGGTCGAGCCTCTTGAGAGGGGACAACACGAAGGCTTGTCTTCGCGTTTGATTAATTCCACGAGGCTGGTGTTGGCGGGTGGCGCTTTCCCTTGCCAACCCACCAGGGCTCTTTGGCCATCTCTTCTAGCAAAGTTCTAGCGCCCGCTTAGAAACCAGGATAGCCTACACTAACCTTGGTGTTAATCATGGGTAATTTCCTTTTGGCCTCGCCAAACAAACCCCCTCAAGGCTTGCGCAAGATACCCTTGACCAACCAGGGCCTCCCAAGCAATGGTCCAACCCGCGAGAAGGGGCGTGAAGTGGGATCGCGTGAATGGAAAGATCAAATCGGGGAGAAGTACGTGCCGCAAACCAATTGAGAAGATGGTGGTCAGAGTGTGACTGTTGGTCCTTTGGTGTTCCAATGTGAGCTCAACGGCCAGTTGATTTCGCGATGCACAACGGCCAGTTCCATTGCCCATCCCAACCTTGCCCCATCCTCCAACCCACATCTCTGCCAGTGAGACCTAGGCCTCCTCCTGCTCCTCCTGATAGAACGTAGATTCTTTGCGTGCGAGCATCAATAAGAGAAGCGGCGGTTGGCCTACCGTGCCCATTGCATTGGATCCATCCATTGCTTTATTCGCGTGCAACACATCCTCGGGAGGGGAAGGCGCTTAGGTCACGGAACTGGCGAACCGCGAGAGCCGTCGCCATAGCCGCTGTCGCTCCCTCGGGAAAAATTCGCCAACGTACGTCGTACGTCGTACGCCACGCGCCGTTCGCCATCTGCCATCCTCCTCTTCCGACGTGTTCTTTTTAGTGGTGGAGGGTGCCCGGAAATAGCCACAAAAGTGACACCTGTATGACTACAAGGGTTGGGATGGACGTTCCAGGTCGTGTTGCATATCGCGACTCTAGAATATGTAGCCTCGGAAAATCTCTTACCCCGCCTGGACTGCTCTTCTAGTTCCTCGTCGCTCCACCTCTATGTTCGATTCGAGCGTGTAGCATTCCGAAAGTGTTTGAAAATGGGAGCCACGACGGCAAGTCTCCCAAAAGGTAAGCGTGGGTTACGTGACGCGGCTAGACACCCGGTCTCCTCGCATCCAAAAGCAAGGGAAGCGTAAAGAGAATGTGTGAGATTGTTGCCGTCCAACACAAATGGCACGGTGGGTGCAACGAAGCACTGCGTAGCCGCCAAAAATAAGCGCCACAACAATCCCTTCTTGGGATTCACCCTCTGTTCCTATCCTCCAGTCGAGCTTGTTGTATAAGCAGCCGAACGCCCTGAACGGCCTCCTTCGCGCGACCGCGGCCCGGACTAGACCCGCGTTCGCCGAGACGCGCCGTCAAGTACGTCCGGTTACTTGGACGTAACATACCGGGGACTCGGGCAAGTCGACGGCGGCTAACCTCTCCACGGTTCACCTTGCTTACATCGCGTTTCTCATAACCCTACCTCGTCGAAAAGGGTGGGAGGGTCCTGGTGAGGCCACAAGTTTCCATCCCTTCTATTCTGTGTTGCTCTCGGCCAGTTGTCCCGTAGCTATAACAAGCTAGCATGCTCATTTGGAACCGTGCTTCTAGGAATGGAAGTTCGATGGGGGTCCCCTTCATCTTAGCAGCGTGCGAAGATCGTGGTTGAGGTCGCATCTTTCCTCGGGGAAGATTAGACACAGGGCATGTCAAGTCACATCATCGACGCCGAGAGAATAAATTCAAGAGCAGCCAAAATGGAGCAAGAATTCCCAAGGGGCCGCCTGACGCACGATGAAGGCGGGCCTCTTTCACCCAATGCCCTGGTTGCTATTCTCGGAGGTAATCACCAGCGTGTGCCAAGGCGCACTTTTGGAACCAAGTCACCGTGGCTGTTGACAATGGAGAAAGAGATGACATGCTCTTTCTAGTTTCTTGCTCTCATCTCGGCTCTTTCGACGTCTTATATACCCCGACCAAAAAGAAATAAAATGCGGAGGGATCTAAGAATGGCGACTAGGGATCCCGCTCGGTCAGACTCCTCGCTCCTTGGACTCAATTTAAAAAAACGACAGCCAAGTGTAAAAAAGGCCCGGCGAAAGCTCCGACATGCTGACTACAAGGGTGTCAGCCCGACGCCCAATGTGCCATCCGAACCAACTTTGCTCTCTGCACGTACGTTCATTCCATATGTACTCATTGCGAGGAGAAAACCTGATGCTCTTCCTTCGGGGGTGGCAGTGTTAGCCGGCTCCCCACAACGCCCCTCTCATCATTCCTTCTCCCAGCCACCAAATAGAAACTGCAGATAGACGAGCTGCCAGCTTCATGGACCTCCGAAAAACAGCGAGCCTGACGAGCCCAAATTTGACCCGAACTCTTTGTGTCAATGTCATGTTTGGGCACGGCCTCTTGGTCACGGCATATCCCCCCGCGTTGGTCGAGGGCTCACCCTTGTGAAGGGAGCCCGCCGGTGCCATGGCGGACTAAAAGGGACAGTGCTCCCATTATACCCATCCTTCCTCGAAATCTCGAGGATCAGAGCAGGATTCCCTACCCCGCTCTTTTGAGGCGAGAACGATATAATCAGTTGGGTGACCCCACTTCGATCGATAGAGCGAGGTAATGCTCAGGATGAAAGAAGACCGTCCCGTGTGCGACTGGGATGACCCATTCCCGGTGGCCTTGCCCTGACAATCTCGGGCATCTCTTCCCCTTTCTCCTCATCTTCCCTCATCCCCCATCTCTCCCGTACAACTATAGAGGTTAGGCGCAAGTTTGTCAGCGAATGGCGCGTGCTATAGGCTCACCTTGGGAGCACTTCGGTACACCTGCTCCGAGATGTAGGCGATGTAGTAGTAGGGGCCCTCGGATTGCTTCTCGACGTCGAGTGATATAGGCACGCCCGCTCGCGCATACCGGCGTGATCCTGCAGAAGAGAGACTGGGGTTGCACCGGCTAGCCTTCCTACAAGATCGAAGCGAATAATCCGGTCTTTGGTCAACTGCCCGGGCATGACACGCGCCCAGTTCTCCGAGGAAAGTAGGGTTGATCGTTGCATTGCATTCCTTCTATCCGCCGAGCCTATCTGACAAAGGCGACAGAGACACTAGTGTCGTATTCTCACCAGTCATATTACCCAAGCTTGACACCACGTATCTGTGCTTTACCTTCCTGCCGGCCCCATGCATAAATGCCTAGTCAGATATCCGCCAGACATATTGGCTAGTCTTCTCGAATGGGGCATCGTCCTAGCTGATCAGAGGCGGGTGTCTGTCCGCCCCTCTCCCGCCCCTCGGAATGTTACAGGGAGACTAATAGCCCGGCGGCATGTTTTGGCACCTGAGGACTTGTTGCATGCAGGACATCTGGTCGTGGAGCGTGGGAGATGTTCCCTGCTTCACGTCCATGGACCTCTCTTTCGACCGGAGACCCGCCCCCGTTGGCATGATCGTTGTGCGCTTACTCCATCGGGATCCTGAGACCTCTTCTCGTCATCGAACGATGAAAAGTCCAACCCCATCATTCGCTCTTTGCTTAGCGCGGCTAGCGCTTTGCTTTTCGACGTGAAGGTGAGAGAAGCACAATTCAACCGCGGCATCAACCCAGAGAAGCGGATGCAGGTTGAAAGAGCTTAAATGTCTCAGGTATATCGTTGTTCCCCTACATCGCCCGCAGGATGGTGAATCATGCGTTCACTTGAACCTTCGCATCTCGACATCCGCCCTTACGTTATGGTTTACATGTACGATAAAGAGCCGACTTTCTTTGACTAATGATCGACCAATCTTCTCTTGGCAGTGTTGAACTAAGCCCTGCCTAAGCCTCATCCTCGAGGTTTCCTGTTGGTTGCTTAGTGAAGGCTGCCCAACCGATATGCCTGCTATTGCCGCAAACATGTTCTCCGAGGATGAAGAGGCCTAAATGCCCAAGACATAGATAGATTAGTGGAATGCATGTTAGACATGAAATGCCCCCAAAGGGGTGGTATGCAGGATTATATTCGCGGTTGTAATGCAACCGGGCGGATGACTAGGTCGTAGACATGAAGGAGGATGTATGAAAAAAAAATGCACAAGCAGATGATGAAGCCGCTGAGAGGCCATGTCCCGGAAACAAATATCCACCTGGATGGGCGGCCAGTGGATGAGACGAGTGCTACGGTAAAGGGAAAGAAAAAGGTAGGAAGAGCACGGAAGAGAAAGGAAGCGCAATTACAAAAAGAGGCCGTAAGAAACATTAAACAAGTAACACCGCATACAAATCCCGCGTGTTCGGACGCCTATCAAGACGCCAGTAAGATAAAAAGAAAAATAAAAAAGGATGAAAGAGAAAAGAGAGAAAAAGAAAGAGAAGATAGCATAGGAAAAGGAAGAACAGTACGCCTCGGAGTGTGCCGGCGGAGCAACATGTCCCATCTAAACCATGTTCGTACAGTGAAAATGTTGGGCAAGGAAAAAGTGGATGAAAACAGGATAACGGACAACAAAACCATTTTGTTCTCCATGATTTCTGGTAAATCTCGACCCTCACAAAGATCTCGTCTACTCATAACACCATCTTTGTACACCTCGTTTTGTTCTTGATGTTTCCCCAAAGAAAAAGTTGGTTGGTTGCGAGACAAGTTTAGAAACAAAGAAGAAGAAGAAGAAGAAGAAGAGAAGAACCAGCAGGTGGATTGGAGGGGGGAACGTTTGCATCTTCGTCTATCCTTAGCCTCTCTCGCTAGGACGAAAAGCCGTGGCACCGTAGAAGCCTCCTTCCCCCGCTAGCTGCACAGGCAAGACATACACCGCCGCCATAGACCCTCGTGTGTCTTGACCAGCCAGTTCCGTACCCATCCGTGACAGAGATGACCTCTCCTTGAACCTCGACACCCTTCTCCGGCAACGGATACCCCTCATGACCCGGGGGCCGGGGGAGAAAAGGGCTCGTTGTTGGGAGTGAGTTTGAAGAGAAGAGGCCGCTGGGAGATCTGGAACTCAAGGACGTACCGCCTGTTAGACCGGAGCCCGAGGAGTCTGAGTGGTGGTGTTGAAGAGGTGCAGGGATATCCATAGGATTTGAGCTAGCATAGGGAGGGGTAACGGGGTTTTCTGGGAGCATGGACGGGCTTGTTAACGCAAGATAATCCGGGTTAGGCTGGTGGATGAAGGAAGAATCGAGTTCAGGCACGCCACGGTACAATCCGTGGTCACCGCGGCTGAAGGCCGATGGAGATAGGGCCGGCGGTGTAAGTGGTGGGGGTGGTGGAGGCCTCGTCATAATATACCGTTGCAGGGTCGGCTCTGTTCGTGGTCTTGGCGAGGACCCACTATCATTGGATACACCTCCTTGGACTGGAGTCCCGGCGCGAGGTGAGAACCCTGGCCTGATGAGTCGCCGTCCCGGTCAAAGTTTGCAAGGTTTTTGGCCTGGTCGTCCATCATCCAGAATGGCGGCGGGGCGGGAGGGGGAACAGGTAGTGCAAACGCCGATACGGTTGTGGTGAGCTGAGGAAAGTGGTCCTTTTGCCTGAACAGCGACTCTGGTGTTGGGGAGGAGGTGCTTCTCAGAAGAAGAAGAAGCGGGGAGGGATCGGAAATCGATGTGGTGTTGCCTCTCCCCATGCAAGAAACCTTCGAGCTGTGTGGCGGGCTATGACAACAATGGCGAATAAGGCAAGGCCGTTCCAGGTCTGCCTTAAGAGAAATGATATATAGGTATGAGTGTTTTGCTGGTCGGTTGGTGAGGCGAGTAGATGCATTTCCAAGGGAAGCCAGTCTTCACTGGGACTGGAGGCGACTGGCATGGTGGGTAGTTATACTCTGGGTCAATGGGCGCACAGTTGAGCTGCTTATGGAAAGTGGTAATAACGGATGGTGGGCCCGGGTGACCACCTTCTTCACGAAAGCCTGGCCGGGACCGGGAACAGTTGGGGGTGGCAGCCCGGTAAGGCAAACTTCCCAATGTTCCGCAAGGGGGTGTGGTGTGGGACTGTGGTCGCCAAGCAGAAAGAAGAGAAGAAGGGGGTGTTTGAGGACCCCTTTTGGCGCGGCGTCAAAATACCACCCACGGCCTTTGCTCGAGTGTTGCGGGATGGTCCTGTCCTCTGATGATGGGCGAGTGGGTGGGGAGGGATAAGCTGAAAGGAACGAAGGAAAACCAGATCGTCAATAAATTTTGATTACGAGCTCATCCGGCGGCTTTTCCTAAATCGAATTTGATCTGGGCGTCGTTGTAGCTCAGCCCTCGATTTCCTTGTCGTCTGAAAGGTACCAGTTGAAAAAAAAAAAAATAAAAAGAAACAACCAACGGACGAGACAGCGATTGACCACTTGTGCTGAAACGGGCCAAAAAAGGCGTTCAATGGAAGGGGGAGGGGCGTATGGCATAGGCTGCGCCCAAAGGGGGTTGGAAGCAAGTGAACGACTGGGTAACGGGGACGTGTCGACGAGAAACCCTTTGGCGCCAGGTTCAGGCGCGACCACGCGCTCCAGGGGTGGAGTTGGAAAGTGTAAGCCGAACGGGAGAATGGAACCTGGATGGATCGCAAAAGCTCGCAAACTTGCTGTCGAGCGAGGTTCAAACTCGTAGCACGTCTGATCTTACAGGCACGTTCGTCAAGGGACCCTGTTTTGAGTGCGGAGAATGAGGCTGTGCTCACTAGGCAGGTATCTATGTCACACCCAGTATAAGTAAGGACTGCCAGTCCAGGAAAATAGATGGAAGCCAGTCAGTCGGGGATCCAGAAACACTTGATTTCCGGGTGAGATCAAAATTCAGGCTAGCGCCATTTGATATGACGAGGGGTGTGAGCGCGCCAGTGTGTCGCATCACCCGTCCCCGCTCGTTCACGAGTGAAAAAGGCGAAAACGCGAGCGCCATTGAGCGCGGCGAGAGATGATGAGATTATGGCAGAAGGGAAGTAAGTTGGTGTGGACGATGGCGAGCGCCAGCTGGGAATGGTGGGTGTACCGAGACGAGAGAGCTGAACGAGCCAACGTCTGGCGCGAAGATATTCTTGGATTCCAACGTGACGCGGGTTGAATGGTTGGGGAGGGATAACGTTACGGCGTCCGCCGCGCCGTCCTGGGAAGACAAGGAAAAGAACTTACACGGGTGTGGATGTTGTCTGGGGTTCGCGATGGACCGACCTCCAGTGGGCTTGGGTTGACCCGCAATTGGGGGTATGGATCAATTGATGCCCGCAAGTGCTCAAGTGCTGCTGAAGAGACCCAGATTGATCCTTGGCAGGACGCAGTGATAGGCTGGAATCTCGGTAATGCAACGCAACGCAGGATGAAAAATGCTGCTTTTTTGGGTTGCCACGACGCTTGCTGTGGGCCTTGGTGGTACCGCAGTAGTAAGCTTCGCGAATCGATTAATTGAGACGTACGGCTTCTCGCAGGAGCAGCTGCTTCTCGAACGGCACTCAAAGGGGGAAAAGGGGAAACAAGAGGCTTTGGTGTAAGAAGTCCTAGGAGGTGGAGGAGGAGGAATGACTGCCGCCGCTCTCTCAAGATGTTGGAAACACAAGGGACTGGGCCAGATCTTGTGTCAATCTTGTGTCAATCAGTTCAACCCTCCGATTGGCGCAGAAAGCTCTCTGTCTTCGATTTTCGTATCCTTGCGCTTCCCTCGGTTCGTTTTATGCCCGTCTTTGCTCGAATCCTCAAGGGCCCTCTTTAGCGTTCGTTTCGGGGATAACGCTGGCTGAACTTAAAAAGGCAGCAGTAGGGACTATCTCGTCCGTTCACGATGGAGGATTGGCGGACAGGAAACAAGGAGCCTTCACCAAGGACCCACCCTTTCGATCGACCTGAGGCGAATGACGGGACCGGACTGGACTGAGCTGGACTGAGCTGGACTGAGCTGACTGACTGGTTTAGCTGGGCGAGGTGGCAACGGAGGGACCGTAGCTTCCGAGTCGATGAGGCGTAAAGGTAAGACGCAGTCGCATGACCTCCTAGTAGATGACGCAGCAACGACTCCCTCAAGATGCAGCGCGTGAACGAGACTTGAGAAGAGGGGAAAGGTCCAAGGTTCGTGAAGGAAGGAAACCCCCAGATTTTTAAGCTTGCGGCAGGTTTGGTTTGGCCAGGGTAGGTGTGACATCCGTCCACTTACATCCTTTCCAAGGAGATCCCCCATCATACGTGCATTCCATTTCCATGCAGGCATTCTGAGGTGTGGGTGTATGTATTCGGATGTCTGAGATGCAATCTACAGCTAGCCCATGTGTCACGGTTGAGGTGCGCTGAAAAACTCCAAGGGGCGTTTCGATTAAGACGCTTTGGGTGTTTCCGCAGCCGGACAAACACTCGAGCCAAGTGGGTAGGGCAAGACAACAGGGGCCAATGCAAGGAATATTTGCCGTACACCTCAAGCCGGCCCATTGACTTGTAACCTTCTCTCTTTTTCTTTTTTTTTTTTTTTTTTCCGCTCTCCCTCTTATCCCACTCGATCTTCATCTGTTCTCGTTCTACGCTTTCGAAGCTAATGCTGGTCCTTGAAGAGCGCAATATGAGATGAGCCTGGGTTTACCTCGGTATTGGAGGGGAGAAAGTCGCCCTTCTCGCGGAACCCAGCAAAAGCTCTTCCTCGAATTGCGTAGGATGGTAGAGTGGAGAAACCTCGAGCTCCTTCTTGCCATCCTTGGAAGTTGGTCAGTGGCGGCGCCGCCAGCGTAGAGATTCTGGCTGAGCCCACTCTCGTGTTGGCTGGCTTTCTCCCACTATCATCCGGTTTGCAAGTACTAGTGTAGTGCCAAAATTGCTCTCTGGGCTGGACCGGCCGTGCCCGTTCGGTATTAGCGAGGAGTGGAAGAGTCGTAGAATCCATGCAATGCGAGCACCTCCCGACCTGGCAGTGCAGCAGCCTCTCTCCTCACAACCTCCCACCCTAATGACGCTAAGGGCAATTGTGGCGTTCTTCCTAGGACAGTAGCCAGCTGGAAGTGGCCAGAGCGTGAACATGGGTACTCCATCATTGTGGATAACATGCCGCCATGGATAAGAGATCAATTCTTTGAGTCGTGGTGTAACGTCTGGGTGGCTTTCCCAAGCGCAGAATGTTCTCAATAGTGCTTGGTTTTTTTAATCTGTTTCCCCAAGGACATGCCAGCATCAGGCTGTTCGGATAAACAGTTGTGCAAGAATTGTCGCGTAGGAAACACAGGTGTGAAACACGTAGTCTCGCGCTCACCGTGGAGGCTTCCATCTCTCTCAAGTCTGGCCTCCCAACGAGACTCATAACAGGAAGAAGATGGCTGAAATGACGATGTCCAGTCCTGCCCTTCGTGGGGTCAAGCTATCCACGTCGCCGGCATATGGCCTAGTGGATACATCAATGTGTAGCTTAACATCTGACCTATGTTGGGGCTCAAATATTGAACCCCTCATGACCAAGGAAGCTGAGAACGGCGTTAAGAGTTCCACTTAGGCCATCAATCACCACTCCCTTGAGACCGCCCTCATGTGAATTTATGCAGGTGGGGCCAACAGTTCGTTGGGCCTAGGAAGATCGAGAGCATCCATTATTCTCTCACTAAAACAGCGCACATAGCGTATGTCGAGTGGCGGTCCTTTTGGAGGCAACGAAAACCTCCTCAAACCCTTCGAAGCTGACGTCCGGTTCAGCGAACGCCTCCAACCCCTCCTGACTCGGGGCAAAGAAGGTACCGAGACTTGGTGTCCTTTTGGGGCAAAAGGAACTAATGGGGTCCCAGAAACCAGTCGTGCAGGGTGTTGGCAGCTAGTGTACCTTGGTAGGGTTGCAGCATCGTGGCCAGAGTGAAGGCTCTCGACGCCAAAGTCCAAACGTGGGATTTCTTGGTGGCATCAGTTCTCCAGTTCCAAGGTCTGATGTGACGTGTAAGGTTTGAGAGAGGGCGGAAGCTTCCGTGGACACCTCGACTGGATACTTCGTTTGTCTAACCCCACGCCTAGTTCAGAGTTAAAATCCTCACATGAGGTATCCCCTCGCTATTGTTCCAAGAGAAAGGATCCCTCACCCTTTGCCGGCCCTTGGGCCCAACGAGATCGAACCAATGGCATGGGCGCCTTGGCTTGGTTCGTAGTTGTGGCGTACACTCGGTCTGACAACAGGCAGGGCTAGATATTGGGAGGACACAATTATTCTACACAAAACGAAATTGAATATTCGCCCTCTCAGTTTTACATCCATCCATGGATAGATACTGGATATTGCGTTGTTCGGTCTTTCCCTCCATTTACGTTGGGTTGGCGGTGAGGCGGCACACTACGCTGCAGGCTAAGGTCGGAAGGAAGCATCGATGTTCAGCATCAACAAAGGACGGCGCCAAAGCCGAAGAGGCCAGAACTCCCGACGCCGTATACACTAATCAAGAAAGGGCCTTCTCTAAAGGACCTTTTCCCCGACCAAGTAATAAAAACCAATGGGAGAATGGCCAAGGGTTTGAACAGTTGACCGTCTTTTTCCCGATAAAGAAGGCGCGCACCGGCTGATACTGGGCTCACTTGACCTCGCCTCCGCGACCCCGGATTCAGAACAATGGACGGTTGTCGAAAATAGCATAATACCTCAACAAGCCTGCGCCGACACTCCATATTGCCCGGGATCACACCTTGAGACGGACATGGGCATG